TCTTTTTTCCATTTCATTCGTCGATTTTGAAACCATATTTTTATTTGTCGCTCAGTTAAACCCAATGCATGGGCAATTTCAATTCGACGACGACGACTTAAATATCTAAAATAATTGCATAAGACTGTGGTACAAGAAAGCATGAATGTATTAAAAAATTTTTTCAGGAATTGTAATAAACCTTTTCGGATAGTACAGGCAGAAACGTATCTAAATTTTTCAATCAAGAATTGTTTTTTTCTTTTCAAGTTTTTGGAAAAAAATGCATGCTATGAAAATATAATTATTCTTAATATTTTTTTCAAAAATGAGGCAACTGCCCGGCTCAATGTCCCAAAGAAGTTACTGATAAAAAATTGCACATACCGATTAAAGTGAAATTCTTTTTCTAATTCCAACGTTTGATATCGAGAGTAAGATGTTCTTGTTCGTTTTGTTTCACCAAGACTTGGATCTAAAGAGAGAAATGGGTTGTATACACTTTAGGATTTCTATTTTCCTTTATAAACGTGCTATATCAACATCATTATTTATTCTTTAAGGACAGATATCGTTTTCGTGTTAAAAATCGTTAACTCGATATCTTAGTTAATCGGAAAAACTAGAAATATGCATGCAGATAAGAATTTTAATGTTTCATTTTAAATGTGTATATCAGATATAAAATATGTATATACGAAAATGACATGTCATACAATTTTTTGGTAAGACATAAATCAAGTTATTTATTCATTCTTTTTTTCTTCTCCTCATTTGATTCGTGTGCACTAAATACTGATCATTTAATCTAAACAAACATATCATCAGTAAGAAAAAGAAATATATAAACTTGATTGCAGAGATTCAATGATCATGACTCATACTAATGTTATTCTTTTTTTTCGCCAATAAAATTGCGTGCTTTTTGAGCAACGTGGAAAATTTACATGTAGCTTATATATTTTTTAATTTTTATTCTAAAACGTTGATATAAACAATCTTTTTTTGGCTGAAAAACCGAAGACGTAAGAGTATCAACAAAATAGTGGGTTAAGAAAGTGTTTTTTTGAAGTAGTCAAACATTTTTTTTATTAATAGTTGAAGAATAATATTACCATGTGTTAAAACTTAATTAAATCAGAATAAATTTTCAATATATATCATCGTGTGCGTTACCGATGTTACAAGAAAAGTACAATGGCTAAAAAGAGACAACATTCTTATTAATTAATTATTTGCTGTTTGCCAATCTATTAGAATAGGAAATTATGATCTATATGTTTGATATTGTATGCAAAAAAATTATTGTACAAAAAAGTAGAAAAGATTAGATTTTTTCGATCTATCAAACGTTTTTTTTGTTCTAAAGCCATACGATCTTAAATATGAAAAAGTGTACATATAAACAGGTCTACTTTGTAACTCTGCACATAAAGTGAAAAATATCTTTTTTTTAAGTCTCGTTCTCTAAACAGCGTAAAAATGAATTAATTTGTACTCTACTCTTCATCGAGTTCAAACTACACTCTCTTTTCGTACTAGAAAAGTATTTTAATTAGAAAAAAAAACGACAATGTTACGACTGTAAGGAAAATTTTCAATAAAAAAGGAAACAGTTCGCGAACTTGTATAAAAAAATCGGATAAAACGTGAAACAGAAGAACTATGAAAATGCGCAATTTAACGTAATACAAACAAAAGTGATTGTCCATAAAACTTTATATTCTCTCTCTACCGATTTATCATTACATATAAATTACATCGTCATTACAGCCATCTGTTGTTCTGTCATGACTGAATGAATGTACGATATGATACACGGCGTGTGTGTGTATTTTTTGATGTCGACTGTTTTTTTTTGTCTTATTTCTAATATTCTCAGCCACGAAACTTTCAATATTCCTATATACACACATACACATAAATGTCCATCTTTCTTTGTTTCTGAGTGTATAAAACTTCTCGTACTACTCTTTGAATTTATGTTTCTTTTTTTCTTTTATATATATCCTCTGTATGATGAAAAAAAGAAAAGAAAAAATAAATCCATTTTGTGAACCATCATAAATCTTTTAAATGTGACATAAATAGTCCATAAAATCTTGATGAATAAACAAGAACGGATATTGTAGAATCCGACAAATATACGAACGAGATCTACTTTCATCCTTTATAATGTGCAAAGATATTATAAACATTGACTATACATATAAATCTAATTTTTTTTGATTATTTGAAAACAGTACGAATTAACGAACAAAAATAGACGAAGTATGTAATTATATTATCCAAATAAAATAACTTAATTAAGATTACATAAAAGAAAGTGCGTTTTGTTTTTTCTTAAACGATAAATAAGATCACAAAAATATCGAATTTGAAATGTTATACATAAGAATTTGGTTCAAATAACACATTATGCAGAAAAAAAAACCTAACTCTGTCACCATCAACATCGAAATCAATATATTCTATAACTATCCTCTTCTTTATCTACCGGTATTATATGTATATATCACTTATTAATATATTATTGCTACAAGTATCATCGGCATTGCTCTTCAACAGGAGACTCGAAAGCAGCTTAACAAAATGATTGTTTAATGATTGCTGCTAGATGAATGTTACGATAACTGGAAAAAGAAACATAAGGAGGCCAAAGAATTTTAAATGGATCACGTAGTTTGTTGGTTAGATTGAGAAAGGTAGCATAACAGAAATACAGAAAATGGTTTTAGTCTAACAGTTTTCGTTGATCTATTACCACGGTCATCAACGAAGACTTGCCATATGTAAGGTGGGACCAGAGATCAGCACAGATCAGGCTTTTGGTTGGACCGGGATGGGACAGACTCGGACCGAAAAGTATTTTTGTCGGGTCGGGTCGGACTGGATCAAGGACTTTTTTTCGGTAACATAAAATAAGCGACGAAGAAGGCCATTTTATCAAGAAAATTTTCAAGAGTGGTCGGGCCGGGCCAGATAAATTTAATCTTCGGTCGGTCCGAACCCGACTTGGTCCGAAAACTTCCTTCATCGGAGCGGGCCGGGTCTGAAATTTTCGGCTCCTGTGGATCTCTGGGTGGGACTTCCAAAATCAGAATACAGAAAAGCTGACGTTTATTTAACTTAATTCAATGCTGTAATAAACTTCTTTAGTTCAGATAGCATATATCCTGCTGTCTTGTTTTCTCTACAAAAAGTATGTGCACACGTAATCTTTACTTTTATCTACAATCAACGTAATTTTACATTTCTGGGCGATATAACTTAGGAATCTAGAAGTTCTAGGAATGTTATGAGCTTAAGCTCACAGTTTTCAACATTGAGGGAAAAAGTATACAAGTTAAAAAAGGAAAGGTATATATATATTTTGAGTAAACATTTTCCTAGTATATGAGAGGTCGAAGAACCCGATTTTTTATTCCAAGTCCGTATGTGTTTTAGTAATGCGTTCAGTAACACTACACTACGTTTTATAAAGAAACATGCTATATGTCCAGTAACTCAAAAAAATTTGAAAAAAGATAAAAAGTAGGCCCGCAATATCATCAGATAGTTCCAGTTACTAAGAACAATGGGAACTAGAACTGCCCATAATATAGTATTTCATTCAAAAAAATTAAAACTTACCACATCCACCGTGTAAGTTTCGTTTCATCCAAGGAAATATATTATGCTGTGAATGTTGAAATGGATCTTGTTTTTGGTTATATAAAGTATGCATTGTTGCCGCAAATGGATTGTGTATAGTCGGATGATTTGAAAATTGATTAAAACTTTCTGTAAAAGGAGGAGGATGTGGATTTGTTGTAAAATGAGATGAGCCACCAATTGGATGGTGTAAAAGCGCATGATGTGGATGTAAAGAACAATCAAATGCAGTTGAATTCTGATTGAATGATGAATAATACGGATCTTGTGTCGTCGACGGTACGGTGCGATAAAATGCTTGTGCCATAGCAGCAGTCGTTGAGCTTGTAGAAACACTATTTGCTGTTGCACCATTATTATAAAGTGGTGGTGAATTTATGTTGAAATGATTAACATTAAAGTTTTGATGTGAGGTACTGTCATTGTCGACAAAGACTGATAGTGGCGGTGTTGTTGTAACTCGAGTTGTATGGAAATTATTTGAGGATATGGAGGGAGAAGAATCACGATGTGACAGTTTTTGTTGCTGTTGATTTATATTACTTATGCCTGACGATGTATTTCCTCTATTTGATGTATGCTGCTGCTGCTGCTGCTGTTGATGATGATGATTATGATTATGATTATGATTATTATAGGCATTTACAATAGCAGTTGGCGGCGACGACAATGTATTTAAAAAATTAGAAGAGGTAGCCATTTGTCCGATAATTGAGCTACTATACAATACAACCGTTAATAGTAAGAATAATCGGTCTGAATAGGGTGTTTATGTAATTGAGAATAAATTATACTACATAATTGAATTTACAAATAGCAGGACAAATGGATTCATATTCGCTCCCTTTTTCATCAGTTATTTTCTCCTTTATATGTGAATGAGGTTTAATGTTGTAATAAAGTTCAGATAATAGCCATATGATGGCAAACGTATATACAAGTATGTGTGTGTGTGCGTTTCAATGACAAGACAATGACTCTATGATGCGGATATTTTGCTTTTTTTTACGATGATGATAAGTTTTTTTTCTCTTCTTTTTCTTATATACGTGTTGTGTTGTGTGTGTCGGTCTTAACGCTGATAGGATACAACATTGTTATTTCTCCTTTTTTTTTCTTTTTTGCCTTAATGGCCAATCGTAAAGCCATCAATGATGAAATATGTTTTCCGTTTTGAAGACATATATATATACATATATACACACATACGTATAAAAGAAAAATATTTAAGACGACTTTCTCTGAATCATCCATTTTATGTATTACAGATAGATTGTTTAGATTGACAGGTGTGATCAAATTTCTCGAGAAGAAATTATTTCGTTTGGATACAAAAACAACAGAGTAATGTACGCAAGTGGTTTTTCAAGGTTATTCTATTTTCAGCATCGACCGATACACAGCTTCACTATTTTATGATTAAATATCTGTTGTGTTCACCTCCATCATTGGTCTATTAGAAACGAACATTCTATTCACCGTTGATTTGGCCTGAGTATGTTTTAAAAGAATGACTATCTTATTCCTTCTTATACTTTGCTCTTTAAAAATAGAATTTATCTATAGTAGTTATTACAACATTAATTTAGAAAAAGGTATCAACAAACACATTAGAGTTCTATAGATGAAGACAAATGGACAAGTTTAAGATTACTAGCTTTCCGTCTCAAAACTTCAAAATACAATTCTTTGTTTTTTCTTTTGTTTCCATTTTTTTTCCACATTTCTTAGCAATTTTCTCAAATTCAAAATTTAAATATATTAAGAAGATTGACGCTCAAAAAAATACTCAAATCTTGCATATTTATACACATAATACTCTTAAAGTATTTGACGTCTGTTGTTTTAACAATCTAGGAAAACTAGTTTTTCTCGTTGCGCCATTTTGAACGTTCATATAAAGATCACAAAATCAGTTTCGGTACGATATAAACGATTACAATTTAAATAAATTTTTCACGCAACCACAACTTACGAAAAAAACATGACGTAACAATTCAAATTTCATAACCTAGTTATTCTTAATGAGTTCGTCGAGCTCTATCGAATGATGTATGAATAAGACGAAAATAAAATAGTACTCGAATTTTGAATTACCGGCATCTTACCTTTTGGGAAAAGAAGTGATCACTCAAAGAAGCGTTGTTTCTCTGAACTAAAATAAATGACTTTTTTATGGTATATTGCATGTACCTATAAGAGGCAGTGCACGATAGAGACGAACGAAGTTGCTCAATGTACTGTCACAGATTTTTCTCAACTTATCAGAGCAGATAGAGAAATGTGTCCTGAACATTTT